TGGGGCGCCAATGTACGTAGATGCACACGAGTTGCGCGGTTGGCAAAGTGATAAGTTCTTCAATGAACCGCAGTTTAAAATGGTAACTGCCGCCCAGTCTCTGGATCTATATCGCTTAATCCTCGATTGTCGAACGTACTGTAAAAGAACAGTTTTCTAGTATCAAACTGTCGCAGTACACTAAGTTAAGTTAACTGTGCAAGGTTTCTAGGATTTTAGGTTTCTGTAGCTCTCTTGCGTTGACCAGTCGATGAAGCGTAGTTCTTCTGGCGGGAAGTTCACCTCTACACACTGAAGCTATAGGACTTACCTTGTCTCATTTCCGACAGGTGCTTTCTTTCTGCCAGCAATCGAAGGCGTGATGGTGCCTCAAGCCGCAAGGATAATACAAATTGCTTTCATTAATCCCTGGGTCTGGTTTATGGACCGCGTGCAATCTCACACTACCGGACGACTAATTAGCACGAGTGCTTAGGTTGTAACATTCTCGAGTTGGCGAAAAATAAGCCAAAGGCTTTTCTTGAGGTGAATGTCTCAACCAGGGATAAAACTTCTCTAGCAATTTCGTCCGATGTTCCCGCAATTATCCATTAAATGTTCATTTGCTCTTCAGTTTTCCAAGTGTAAGGTCATTATACTTACACTCAGGAGTAGACTGCGAAATATATACAATAAAAGCATTAACAAATTATCGCCAAAATGTGATGGAAATTCGTTGAACCAGGCGATGTTTGTGTCCGACAGCCCTACAGCATAAACAGAGAAGGACAAGTCTTTTTTACTTGCTAAACGGTATGCAACGCCGGTTGTCCACGAGTACCGTCCCCGAAAGTCGACAGAAAAAGCGCACGTGCATGCTTGTAGGTTCGTTCCATTTGTGAAGCACAGTACTCCCGCTCATGCGTGAACTACATCCAAGCAAAGCTGCCGGGACGAACGCCATCAATCCAAGCTTTAGTCTGCTCGGACCGATGTCCTCTTTATATGGAGCACACACCTTTGAGATTGTTTTTGTAGTTGCCATATTCTTAAATATTAGAGATAAGCCAGGGTCTACCTGTTCGCTTATCCTCATTATGTAAGTAGACAGCTGCTACGAAGATATCTCTCAAACGTGTATGATCAGTTTACACAGAACGTTGGTCCGAGCCAATCAAAGCTTGTATAGAGGACCTTCATCCCAGCAGTTTTGGTTGGTGTTAGCTCACTCATGAGCGTGAGTACCTGTGCTTCACAAATGGAACGATCCTATAAGAATGTGACTGTGCTTTTCGCGTCAAAGTTGGATGACGTTCCTGGCGAAATGACGGATTTACAAACTGTTCTGCAACTAAATAGGCCTCGTCCTTGTCTCTAGATGCTGCAGTGCCCTTAGGACCAAACATCAGGGGATTAGAGATATTTGCCTCGCATCGCAGTCTGACCTAACCATAAAGGTTTCAAGAGCGCTACACGATAGGCTGGGCGCCTTATTGTTAAACCATGGCAGGTGCGCTCATACATTTTCCCAACTGACCTTGGGTGAAGGGGAGAAATATTTCTCAACCAAGGCTTACGTTTGTTCCACGCGAACTGGACCATATCATCCCTGATAATATAGGAGAGATATTTGCGTCCATATATTTCATGGTTTAGAAAGCTGCGCGCCAGCTAAGTCAGGAAGCGCGTAATGCTTCTATCCTCATTCCCACTTAGGATACAAATTAATACTAGGCACACGTAATCACTAGCATCCATAAGGATTTTGAAACTTGCGTACTCACAACGCCCACCGACTTGGTAAAGACGAGGTCTAAGGAAAAGGGGTGTTGGTCCTCCTTAACTCTAGTGAGCCTACGTACAAGTTCTTAGCTACAAGCTTGTAGGGAACCTACAGGGAGGCCAGTGAACCAAACCCTGCCACTGCATCGCAGATGCAATTTCGACATTCAGTTAAAGGTGAACTAAAATTACCTTTAACTAGACATCTATTGCCGTATGTCTGCGCTTGGCACAACTATGGGGCTTCTGTATGCCAACACAATGAGGGACTGTATGAGAGAGGTACGTACCTCCATCGGAATTGCCTCGGCAGTTAAGGGTTTCGGTGTGTTTCTCTCCCATCCCAATACACCACGACCAACGGTTTCGTGTTTTGTTTAGAGCCATCAACAGTTCTATCCTTGCTAAGATTAATGTTTGCATAAATGTTTAAAAAATAGCTAAGGTGGGACTGATGAACAGCCACACCACGACCGCTAAGGCTTAAAATGGGGTCAGGTTGTAGGATGGTAAACCAATGCACTGCTCAGGAGGTCGGATAACAATCGCATCCCAATGAAGGCAAGTACGTCTGGCCAAGTACATTCTTCAAGGTGCCGTCCTCACACACCTTGTTCCGCAGCCTAAGCACGTTACTGGGGACCAGATTAAAGAAAGGGGGATCCGGGGGCCGAAGATCGTGGGTCACAGGAAAAAAAGATGTAGGAGTGAAAGTGGACCATCGGATCATCACCCAAACACACACTAACCGAATATCCAGATAAAACGCTTCGAGACGCACATTAACGTCCTTTCCGGCCTTTAATTTCAATCTGTCAGCCAAGGAGAGGTCCGGTTGAATACGAACACTAGAAACTTTAGGCTTACAAATAAAATGCAAAGGCAATTTAAGCTTACTTACCGTTGAAACTGCGAAGTTCAGTAAACGCGGTCTAATATACAAGTCCACCGGCACAGTAACAAACCCATTAAGCTTCGTTCCATTACGCCAAGGAACCCAGGCGGTAGCAAGTAAGAAACGTACAACTTGGGCCATGGACGTGGTGGGTTTTCGCCTGGCAAGGGTTCTCCCTATAAAAAGCCACAAATGTCCGCTTAACAACACTGCAACGTGGCGGATGTGACTCGCCACAAAATAAAGTCACAGCTAAGCATTTCACATTGACGCAGTCCTCAGTCTTCTACACCGAACCTGTGCAACTAATTCTGCTATGAAGAATGTTTCGTTGGAGCGCAGATCATCTCTATCTCGTAATGGTTATTGGTTGCAACAAAACCTTGTTTAGGCTCCTGTGCTAACGAATCACTACCTGGCGAAATTAACCCCAACTTGTGTTTTGACGGATTTTTCCGCGCCACAGCGCCATAATGTCCCTGGGTCTGACTATTACCTGACAGTACGCTCACTCATACGGACAACATCTTTTCTTTTATAACTTTCATTAAAACGAAATGTTTTAACATTCCACAAAAGCTATGCTCGTATGCATATTTGATCACCCCTTTACAGGTGTGTCTCGTTTTACCGAGAATATACTATTTAATTATTTATTTATTTATCCTTCAAAAGAGCACCGGACCTACTTAAAAGTACCACTACTATCGGTATGGGTATAATTGCGACGATGGGTGCCCACTCCATGCGTCAAAATCGCAGGAGTAGGTAACTGGGTGGCTGGCTGCTTGGACCTAACAGCCACCAAAGAAGACACTTGCAGCGTGGAGAAAGTAGAACACACATCGGACGGCTACGCAGGCGACGTGCTTAACCGACGCCCTGTGTGCTCCGTAGCTGCCTCAAAAAGAAGACATAGGATTTTCTTCTTCTTGTGCCACCCACCTTTTTTGGGCGAAGGGACCTCACTCCTTAGACGAAACATTGAGATTATTTATTACTTCCGATTGGTGCTCGCGAACTTGTTCGCCAACTAGTGTTGAATGAGTCCTCATCCGCTGTTGTCGCCCGGCCGAGGTCATCTGAGAATATCATTCGCTCAACTAGCCCACAAACTCCTCATTTATAGTTAAAATAGGCAATGGTTGTTCTGTGTTTGTTGGACCGCAAGCCAGTGAAGCAAAGCACACCATCGGGAGCATACAGCGCTGAGTTCTAAGTTTACACAACCGTAAACGTTATAAAGCAAACATCAGTTCTGGAGTTAGAACTGTGCATAATTCGTGACACCATTTACCAAATAGATCGTTTTGTATACCAATCAACAGGTTGGCTACAGGTTCAGAGCATCATGCAATCGTACAGTAGAAACTGGCTTGGAAAACTGCAGGTTTGAGGACTCACCAGCAATCATTTTACCAGCGGGACAGAAAAGCGAAGCCAAGATACTTAAGAGGAGCGCAAAATTGTGGACCGGCTGGCAACGGACTACAATGCGGCCAACGGCATGTCGGTATATGCAACACGCATAAAAATGAGAGACTGTCCTTTATGTTGAAATGCCTTTCTTTTCTTAACGAATAAATGCTGAGGTGCACAGTTCACGCAACTATAACCGTACCTGTATTGTCTAAATCAAGGTTTTTCTATCGTCAATGAATAACCTATCTGCGCGAGCTGGAAAGTGCACGGATCCAACATGGAAGGAATGGTTGCCAGCGTGTGCATTCCTTTGCCTGCATTTCGGAAGCCGTTGAAAGCGAAATTACTTCTGAGCGTCCGAAAATTGCATAGACAGGACCTTGGCGGAGCTTGAATATTTGATCCACGCACAGCTATAAAAGGGATCGAGTGCTCATTCTTTTGCAAAGGCCACGGAACTTAAGCATACGTCAAAATAACGGAGGCTATGGTTTGCTTCTCGGCGCAAGAAACAGGACGATTGTTAGGCGGAAGCCTGTGCCGTTTGTTTAAGCAGACCTGACATTTCCTGACCATATGTGATTCAGATAAGACACAACACGAACATTCAATGGACACTCATCGGACGTCAATCGAGCTCTCATCCAACATCCGAGCCGGCAGGGAATATGCCCTGTCAATAGTCTCAACTATTGCATAACTAAATGCCTTTTGAGCGATAGGGTTATTCCTAATTTTGCAGGTAAAAGCTAAGATGCATCGTGTAGTCACAACTGAAAAGGTATAACAACGCTATCCGGAAACGTACGCACTACGGTGCGATAATGAAGTAAATTTAAATAAAAAATTTTTTGCTGGGATCATTTAGGGTAGCGTTGTTTAGTTTTAAAAGTTGCAACGCATTTGACCTTAAACATATGTCACAATTTCAACTACAATTTCTGTTACTGCGAGTAAGGTCAAAATATAAGTTGTTTATCGTATGTATGTTACTTGCGTATTTCAATAATTTATTACCAGTTGCCTTGCTACCTGTGGGTTAATTTGCTATGGTTGTATTTCCTGTACTGTTCTCGTACTCCGAATGTATGATTAATTGTCAGCTTTTGTATTATTAAACTATTTAAAAAACCTGCAGTTTTATACAAGTTTACCACCCAGCTAACAAGCAAAATTTCTTTATTTAAATAAAATTACTGTACCTAATATTATAACTGAGTATTCAAAGTATATATAATACATATGGATGCGTATTTATTAAGGTTACCACTTATCCAGCTCTGAAATTAAGTTGATAACATATATAAACATTGTGCAATCTGCCATGTGTTCTATTAGTACTAGCTGAATACTACTTGCTTTGGCTTTATTCGTATTATGTTCAACAACTATGAGCTTTTACCAGTTAGTTAGCTTGCCTTTGCGAATTAGCATTGCGCATTAACAACCTGTTTTCTTCACCTTCATTGGAAGTTAAAAGTCAGGAGAAGTCCGTGAGTGTTTATTTTTGAGCAGATTGTTGAGCAGGGAGTCAGTTAGTTGTTCCAAGCTCTTGAATGATCTAATACGATTCACCCGCATCCACCCTAGTCACTAAATTACGGCGCCCAATTTTTGCACCAACCGTCCTTGCTGTGCCATTTACTTGAGGTAAACAAGGGATAGACAAGCAAACCGAGAACAAAGAATAATGAAAGTCAGTTGAAGAAAGGATAAGCCAAAAGCATTATGAAAAGTATAGAAAAAGTGAAGTATAAAGATGGGTAAGTCAGGATGAGGGAAACAGTTCATCATCACCCGCCTGATCCCCACGCTCCGAGGCTTATCTTACCACCAGAGGTGCCACATGTTACGTCTCCATACACTAGTATACAGGAGATTACGAATTGACCGCATTACAATGTTTAGAATCCTTCACCTGAGACATTTTCTTCACCTGAGACATATGTTCTGTATTGTGGATGCACCTATCACCCGAGGGCATTCTTACAAGCTAGAAGTTCCACGTATGGACAATGTCACTCATATTCATTGTTTCGCGCGACGTGTGATACATTTCTGGGACTGATTGCCCAGTTTCCTTGTTCTTTCTGATTCAGTGCAGTGTTTCAAACGAAGCACTGACAAACATTTTTCAGACTTGTGTTTCGATGCAGACGCCATGTTTGACCTCCTTTCGTCGCGTGGTTATGTCACGGCTACACTAGCAACCCTAAAAGACCAAGACACGTAGTGCTTTCTTTGTGCTTATATATCGGTATTTTGTTTGCTTATTACTAAACGACTATTGATGTGCATTCACACAGACCCATATTCGGCATGGGTCATTTTTGCTTTACTTATGATGGAGATCACATAGATTCCTATCTTATTCTCCTAATAAATTGATTCTGATTCTGATTCATGATTACTCTCCTATCACTTAACTGTAGACTTTCTGACAGCATTTGCTGGAAACCAATATGCGTCATCTATGACTAAATGTGTTAACTCAGATTCCATTATAATCAGATCAGATTGCAGTCAGATTGTCAGGTTCATGAAATGCTTTTGTAGATGACACAACCCAGCAGGACCAAATAACCACGACAAATCCGAACCAATTTCTCAGTAAAAACATCGTAGGTTAGGATTAGCTGTCCTCTAATACCAAGCTTTCAGCATCCATACTACTCCATAGAATTTTATCCTTTCCTGAATATAATTCTGTGAAGAACAAGTTGGCTTTCGTCCTGACCGTGGGTACCTGGATCAACTATTCACGCTCAGCCTAATGTTCCAACCCCGCCATCGCAATCAAGAGCCCACCCTCGTTGCATTTTTAAACCTCCGTGCTGCTTTCCAGTTTGTTTATCAATCTACGATGTAGCGTTGCTTGCCAATGAATAAAGACCCAGAAAAGTATAATGCCATTCTACGCGCACTCAACCTTTTTATCTCCGGCTGAGTGCGGGACCATGGCAAGCTTTCGTCGTCATTTGCTATCTATAGCGGTGTAAGCCTGGGCTGTTTTAGGTTCCCTTTACACTTCATTTTTAAAATTAAAGAGGTCTTGTCGAGAGCTTTGGAGGTCTGTTATACTTCTGAAATGCAACTACTGCCGAACAAGCAAGCGACAGACATAGGTTATGTTTATGACATTTCCTTACTAGGTGAGGACAGACAACGTATGCAAGCAGTTCTAAATCGCTTAGCGATCGATGCATCTAAGTTTGTTCTGTGCTTCGTCTTAAAGAAAGACGTTGTGTTTTGCTAAGTTTGACACTTGAACGTTCCCGTGCTTACTCTTGTAAGTACGCAGCTTGACCATTTTGATAGCTTTGTCCAACTGGGCGGGTGCGTGTCTCCTGTTGGCTCTGTAGAGAAGAAAGTTTTGGTTTGCACCGCCAAGGCGCTATCAGCTTTCATCAAACTAAAGCACTTGTGACACCGTCGGGAAGTCTCATTGTTGGTAAAGGGTGGCGATTACAATGCCACCGTTTGGGCGGCGTTCCTATATCTAGGCAAGTCGTGGTCATTTCGTGTGCACGAGATATGCCGCTCTCAAATTTTTAAGATGGGCGTTTGAGGAGGATTGCTTGGGTGCTGTGGCAACAACGTATCTGCAGTAGCGAAGTTAGACGCTGAGTGTTAGGAAATGCAAGTATTTACTTAAACAATTTAGTTTCGCTTCGTCAGTTATGATAGCTTGGTCAAGTTCTGCGTATATAAGCTGAGCGGTAGCCCAATTGCAACATTTTGCTCGTGCCGTTAGATCCACACGCTTTCCTTGTTAAAGACCGAAGGAGGAGGAGTGCCGATGGCTCGAAGATTGTCGGACATGGCGCGTAGTCAAAACCCTTGGATGATTGGTATACATGTCTTTTTAGACGCAGGTGTCTGATGCTTATCCATTGATAGAAAATAAAAGGGATAAACAACGTGTGAATCAATAAAATTAACGTTTCCGTTCTTTATAAAGCAAAATAGCCGAATTGTGTTGCGCAGCTTTAGCTAGTGTGCCACAAGGATGTTCTGAGAAGTTTCGTGGTTTTATTAGCACTTTGTCTATTTATTAGACTGTTGACAATAAAATTATTCTCAATCACTTGGGTAATGCATGAAGTGCATTCCCAGACTAAGTAGGTGCTCAAAGCAAGTTCGTTCCCTTAACCCACTGACCATGCTAGTAGTTACTCACATCTCCCAGTAGCTTTATTTTTTGCTCTAAGCTTATACAACGTATAATGGTAAACTAGGTCCAACCTGCTCGTAAGTCATGTTGTAAGCAAGCATTTTACTGATTACTACAAACAGTTATCATATAGACTGGAAGTACCTACACTAAAACGGACCTTTCCTAGATAACCATTAAGCGCATAAAATAATGACTATTCAATTATAGTAAAATCAGCCCTCTTGTTCAAGGTTAGGGCTAACTTTCTAACACATAAACTACTGGTATTTCATCCGATCCAACTTTATTGTATCTCAACTACAATGACCAGTTAAAACAATAGAATATTGGGCTAGTAAAAATAATAAAAATAATATTATTTGTTTTGTGAGGTAAAAAGAACGGCACATTCATTTTTCATTTAGTTTTAGAAAACAAATATTTGTTTTTTGCCAGCTGCATTACATGTTGCTTACTTCATAGTTTAAGTGCGTTATTATAGCGCGTTGCGTTACAAGGGTTCCCTACAGTCGCAGTGAATACAAATTGATCTATGCTTACCCAGCAACTTAGCAAAACAATGATCGGTTTGTGAGCTGAGGACCAACCCAGGTATCCTTCAGTCATTCACCAAACATGTTGACAACATTATCGTAGCAAACTAAAATCCTCATCATCAGAAATGTCTTCCAACAATAGTTTTGTGTCAAATTGGCCGCACAAAATGAAAGAACTATTTCAATTCCTTGCTTACCTCTTCGTGTAGAATATACTGGGCGTAAATTAAGGTAGAACAACCGCTAAAACACTGTAGAAAAATCAAGTGCTTTGTTTGCATTCGATAAGAGCAACGCAGGTTTTGAAATATTGTAGATATTTCAATCGATGCCGCTAAACATTCACAACGCAACATAAAGTAACCTAACTACTTCATACTGCATTGATGTAACATGGTTATAATTATTCAGACTACAAGGCAAGCATTAAAGTTAATGACTGAACACTAATATAGTTAGCTTTCCAACTTTGTGGTCCCATTTTTTATACGCCTGATCTTGTGACGCCATGCTTAATTAATTGTATTATGTCATAGCACATTATGTATTATTAATGTTCTTTGGCTACGCTGCATTTGCTTTAGTTTAAACTAAATTGCTAACTGTGAGTATCCTTGCATTATGCATAAGCTTGCTAATAGGTAATTATACGAACAGCAGGTTCTAGGTGCGACAAGGCGAAAACTATTTAAAAGAGATATAGCGAGGAAACTAAAACTAAGTTTTGGTAGATAACCGTAAAATATTATTATTACTTACATAACTACGTTAAATATAGTGCTTTCACTCACACGCCTACATTCCTAAAACTTGATAGACTGTCCGCAACATTTCGGTGTATTTTATACTTGATGTACTTTGGCAAACTTTAGCGTGAATTCAGTAAACAGAATAGCTTGACAGTAAGCTTTTATGGTTTGTAAAGTAGCAAATCGTTCCTCAGTAAAATTTTAGCTAATTATTAAAGTTAAACTCGGTCACACAGAAACTATTGATGCGAAAGTAACTAGCTAATTATCAAAAGGATGTTTCGGCTCATTCTTGTCAGGCGCGCTATAACATACCTTCCAATTATGAAGTTAAAATGTCTTAAAATAATCAAAACGTTGTTATTATTTAGCGACTAAGAGCAGCTTTAATATTATTAGGATATTTGTTAGGTTGCTTACCATTCAAGCGTTGCATCAGCCTCATAGTATATCAATTAATTTGTTAATAGAGGAGTAGTTTTTAGATGTTAAACAGAGATATAATCCAGGATTGCAGTTGCATGGTTCGCATATATTGGATTAACGGTTTAGGAACAATCATGGAATGCAAAAGCAAGGACTTCACTTATTCAAGTACCTTAACTTTGGATTTAATATTGCACGCAGCGCAACCCAGCTGCATGATCTAGTGGGGCTGCAGTGCAAGTGAACTTCACTGTTTTAGTTAGTACTAATGTAAAAATGTCCCATTACAAGTCTGTCCTCAGTGTATTAGCCCAATTAGTGGTCGCAAAATATTAACTGCTTGTCACAATGTAATAAACCTGTCAAAATAATTAACTGTTGATTGCCTTCACCAGAAACCAGCACAAGCATTCCTTGCGTCTGTCAATAAACATTGGTGGCGGCCACCACAGATCGACCACATCACGCTTTCACTTTCGGTAACCGTCTGCTTTGCATGAATTCCCAAAACCACTCAAACACTATGGTTTTTGCAAGTTCATCATCACCAACCGCTGCACACAATTACTACAAAGTCAGGTGCTGCGTTAAACCACAAACGTACTCATGAATTCATCGCCCAATGCCATCGACTGCACTCCATACTTTCATTCAGAGCATAGCAACTATTCTACCCTGTGGACTGTGCTGAACTACTGCTACAGGGTTCTCTGAGAGTATGTCACTAAACAAGTTCCGGAATAGCTTACAGTTTATTATTTTACCAGGTCATTGCACCTAAGCTGTTTACTACTTGTCCATAAAGTTATTTCTTTGCCCTGATGCAAGTAAGCATTTGGTAATAAGGACTGCTAAGGTTATTGCAAATATTTGCACGTTAATTTTTTACAACTAACCGACTATGCAATAAAACTGCATTAAATGTTCCAGCAGACGAATTTGCTGATGGTTAGTATTATTCCACGGGTTAAAGAATATTAAATACAGCATTTAATAAGACCCATATCGAATACATGTATTGAATGCGTGACTAGGAAAAGCAGTAAGCGTTGCTGCCCACATAATCGCAAACATGTTATGTAAATGGTTAAGTTGTAAAGTTTAGGACACATGAAAAAGAACTGAGGCTATTTTATTCTAAAATGTTAAAAAATAATTGTCGCCGATAACATATATTATTAAGTTGGTATTCTAAAAATGCGTTTTGTGCTTGTTAACTTTGACAGCAATTTCTACCAAATAATTAGTAAGCAAGATTCTGGTCACTCAACGAGTCAACCAGAATGATAAAACACTAGATTGCAATTAACGGTTTGAACAAAATTAACAATGGCATTATTTTACTCCACTGCGTGGACCTGTAAACTTACGCTAGCAATCAGTCTTATTTTCCTCAAGGATACAGAAATATAAGTATAGAATTTGTACGCTTCCGATATTGAAGGTTGCAAACCTTGAAAAAACACTATTTGCTAGCAACGATAATTTAATCTTTTACTATTACTGTGCTGCAGAAGCTAAAAGTATAAGCTATGCGTCATAGATAGCTAAATTAGAGAACAATTAAATAAGAACATTATACAAACACTATCTTATTACATGCATATCAAGATAATGCTTTTATGATTATCAAAGTGTAAATTCTCAAGCTACATAACCAAATATGATTAGCTGGTAACTGAATATATATGTGAAACAATCAGGATTAAAAATGCATGCTGCTTGTAATTTACAAACAATATTATAAAATTGCACTGCCTAGGTAGAATATACGGACAATGAACGTTCACAATTCAGTGGCATACTAAGTTTGATGTTAATTATCAAAGTAAGCTTGTATTAAGTGCATAAACTGGCAGTGCTAAGCGTAATTGTTACCTGTTAAGTACAACTGAATCATAAAGTCCTAAGTATTGTCTACAAAATATGGTAAATAAATTGTCTTTTGAAAACAAATAAGGTTTTTGGCGCCAACCAAATAATCACAAAGAAAACATTTAATAGATGTCACTGACCATAGAAACAGCAAATAAGCGATATGTTGAGTCGGTTACTTAACCGGAATTTAAAAACACAACTAATATGAGAGCTAAATTTTTGATAAAAATTCACTATTACGTTATGATGGCTTGCATTGCAGTCCCCCAACCACGTGCACAATAATCAAGTGGCTTACTGTTTTTCGTTTTAGAAAGTCTGATAGCTGTAATAGATGCGCTCTCAAACTCAGCAAACTAATGAGGCAAATGCTGCAAACGCCTGATCTGGTATTATCTAAAGCTTCTGGCTTTTCGAACTCGGGATCTATAACTCTGGAACACATTTTTCCAACTGAGCAGAATTTTTCTGGTGGTCTTAATTATAGCCAGCCAGTTGATAGAAGCAGGGGAAAAGCAAAATCTGAGGACTCTACCACATTTAGCAAGATTCATGTTTGGTCCAGCGATTTTCCTCACAATGAGCAAACTATTGAACTGGACGAACGCTACTTTTGTGCGCCAAGCCCTGGGCTGGATAGAAGGCAAGCAAGCTGCCACTTTTTGGAACCGGAGTGCCACTATTTCTTATCATCCAACGAGGAACTTGAAAGCAACAAGAATTTCAAGTTCAATGTATCTACTTGTACATCTAATCCAACGCCTGAATTCATTGTCCATGGACAGATGAGTCACGCGAGGGGAAATTCTGAAGATATAAGTACGTCAACCAGTGTAGTTTTTTACTAAGAATTATTGTTTGGCAAAAGATTGAGCCTTTCAAAAGGTATAACACTATACCTACATTCACTTTATGTAAAGAATAGTAAGTAAAACGTCAGTCAATTAAAGATTACTATGCACAGTCAAGCAAATCCTGCAGCTTTTGGTAAGGAAAGAGAAAATGGTGCAAAACACTAAACTCACCAATAGCCTACTCAGCAAATACGAGCCCGATTTATAAGACGCGGTCGTTTTAACTGTGTATGCCCAAAAATATTGCGCAACTTTGCCAGGGAACTAAAATAACTCAAAATGTTTAAAAGTGTGCATAGACAAAACAGCCATTAAGATACACACAGACGATATTGCGTGTTATGAAATAAAAACAATATTTAAATTTTTTGTTCTTGTTGTCACTGTCAAGCAGTAGTGAAAAGTAAGCAAAAAACTCTGGTGACGCAACGTACAATTTTGGCTACATATTTGGTAAATCCCAGCCGCAGAATCAAGTATCGGATAATATTTAACCAGACTGTAGCCATTGTTTAGTTGGGTAGGTATTAATACCTGCTATAAAAATTATTAATCTTTGCTTTGCCTTTTAGTTGCATATTCTCGGTAAGCAGTTATTTATAATTTCTGCAATTTGCCGAAGATTAATAATAAAATCTAAGCGAAAAATATATTTCTTGCATTAAAGCAATTTTTTATTTTAATGTACTACTCCGGATGTCATTTATTTCCCGCATACAAATATTAGTATTTGTTCTCATATGACTGGTTTACTGAAATTAATTTTTTGGTTTACCTATATAATTTTTGCAAAGTACTAAGATACTGAAAACATTGCCGTTAGGTAACGTAAGGTTTCCCTAGTTGCAATAACCTTTCATTTGGTTGCAATGCCAGGTTCTAGGCTCTTTTTGAGCTTGGGGACTCTGCAGATAGTTCAGTGGGACCTCATATATATGTATATATTTTACAGTTATTGAAATAACAGAGACGTTTCGCTAACGAGCCACTATTTTTTAAAAGTCTGGGCTCCTGACCCCATTGCAAGATAATGTGTATCCCATTGTCATGTAATTTTACAGCACTAGACTGACAGCGCTGATGTCCTTGGTTCTAGTTGTCGCTCATGTTTATTAATTTGCGGTATTAAACAAGTACGGCACCAGCAGTGAAGTGTTGCACTGCTAAGTGAGAGTGCGCAAACTGTTTTCACGCACCACGTTGGTAGCGAACATAAGCAATGCCAAGGTACAAACTTTTAATACATAAAATGCGAGCTACAAACAGCAGAGACCACAAAGCTGCATCTAAAAATGAAATGAAATAGTTCGCATAATACTGTGCTTGGAATGTGTAGGAACAGCTAAGCTGCTCTTTGTTGTGTTAACAAGTGTATCCAGCCAAATGTTTCGTCATTCCTTGGATCCAAACCAGGAAGTCAAGAGGCACTAACTGACACCAATTTGGAAAGGAGAGACTTCATTCTTGTTACCAATTCATCGTTTGACAGCCCTACTATCTTTCTATGCATACCTTCGCCGCGCAAACAAGGTACATCAGGGACTCTGTGTGCTAGCGTGCGCAACACACAGCCATGCCATTGTAGCTTGGTGAGCGCTATAATGATTCCGAGTGGTTTACTCACTACTACTGCACTAAACACGCAATGCCGAACACGCTCATTGCTTACGCAGTGTTCCCACCAGACCTAGGCTGAAATGCAAAAGCAGATCTTGTCGCAACAAATAAGCCTCTTTATGTATATCTAGCTGATTGAACAGGTTTTGATGCCGTGCCTAAAGGCAAATTTGCAAAATGTGCCCTTCAGGGTGAGAGTGATGTCGCAACTGCTCTACACGTGGCATAGATAAAAAAATTATTACCCAAAACAATGGGCATACAATAGTAAATTGTTCAGTACTACTTAGCACCTTTAGGAGATCTGTGCAATTAAGGACAATTTAGACTGCATGCTTTGAGACAAAAGTCGCTCACCTGAAAGCACCTCCACACCTTCTTAGTTATGTCTTGTAAACGTTGGCTCTATGAACTTAACAATGGCAAACTTAAAAAGGAAGGGTGGGAGAGGGCGCAGTTGCCTCACGTCGCTAGCGTGGTTGTAGGTTGACGGTGGTATAACACAAACGCTTGTGCTGCCCAAACGAGGTGCGTATAGTTCTAACTTTTATGTATTGCACGATCACTACTATCCTGAGCAGACATTCCTAGTTGGACATAGACCCATCAACTCGAAGGCAACTTTGATGTCAAGGGCGTTAATAAATACGGTGGGGCTACGACAATTGACGTAAACCAAAGGTGTGGCCAATATAATCTCAATTGCAATGAAAGGCGTCCTGTTTCTTGTACACCTAACTATCATTTTGTCATTCAACCTCTGAAGGACGACAGAGCAGAAGCAATTAAAGGAAATGGAAATCAGACTGATTCCATATGGTTGCCGCAGTTTAAACCTAAGATCCTTCCAACACTGGAAATACAACGAACCGGCCGCAGTTTGTTAAGGGAGTCCTCTACTCACACAGTCACACAGTTAAGTTGTGCAAGTCACTCACGAGAGTTATTCTAGCAATGATAAAAAGAGCTGGTGCAAATCTGGTTGGTTTCACTATGCTATTCATTTGAAACCGGCTGAACTCACGTTCCACTTCTGCGCGTGACGGCAGGTCCAAGGGGATGGCCCAGGGAGAAGGACAAGCAATGGCCGTTAAAAAAGGCAAATCTAGCTGAATAAACTAAGTTTCAAAATGTTCTGCCTAACACTCCTTGCCTCTTTACACGTTTTATATTGGCTATGCAAGCTACCTTGCTGCCTGTCCCGAGTATCGGAATAACTTTTAATGGCTACCGACGGCACTTGTTTTCTCCATCTCCAGTGAAAGATAAAACTTCTAGGCTTCTCCGTCCCCCTATAGGCTAGCGCGCAGTTTACACTGAAGTCCATACGAGCCTTGTTGTGTTCGTCTCCAGCTATAAGTTGTGGGTAAGCTTACAGATTTTTCAGGAACTGCGCAGGGACCCCACGTCCAGACTGGTAAATTGATCTGTCACATGAAGACATGTTTGTTGGAAATAACGTCCGGTGGATATGTGGCCAGTTATCTTCAACTGTGTTCAGTGAGAGCTTGTGCAGCTCGAAGGCCAGCGTACTTTGGCTTGCATTCAGAACATCTGGCCATGCCAGTTAACCGCTGTTTATGCGCTTACCTCATTGTGGCAGGCTTTCGTCGTCACTTATTCAAAAACGAGCCATCGCAATGAGGCTGGACCTTACCGTGGTGCGATGGTTTGTGTGCCTCAGTGATCCATTGAGCTATACTGGGTGGCGCTTTTGCTCCTTCAGAGCCACTCATACCAGATTGGTCAATGGTTAGAGGCCAGACAAACTCAGCCTCCTGGTCCTCCAGGTTGGGGGTTGAAATGAGGGTGACTCCTTATTCCTTAAAACGGACTCCTTGTAGTCCAGTGCCAAACCCGCTGCCTTGCGGCCAGGTTTTGAACCAAAGGCTTTGGTTGAGAACCCTAATCGTTCTCCTGTCTAGGTCTGGGCAACCTGACAGTTTCCTGCCCACGCAATACAATGAATCCTTCCCCAAACGAATTTCTGATGCTCTGGCCACCGCAGAGGATAATCAACGGTGCCTTATCTGCTGCATCGAGCAGGGTGGACAGGGGTTTGGATGCTACTGTTCAGGCCTTCCCATCTTCTTATTCCCCTTCTTGCGCTTTTTCATCATTATCGTCCCGTTCCAGCTTTACTTTTATCCCCCCTGTTTTCAACCCTCAATTCTCGGCCCTCCCCCACCTTGCTTCAATAGTCGCTTGTCTTTTAGTTTCAACTCACAGGTGAACGCAGAGCGTCATCCCTGCACTGTCAACAGGCCCATGTCCAAGCAAGCGGCTCATTCCAGTTCATCGGCTTCCATTTGGAGCCCTCGATCCTCCTTCAGACTGGCATGCCTCAATGTTCGCACATTGCTTCAGATTGGTCAACAGGCAGCACTTACGCGAACATTAGAGACCCTCTCGATCGATATCTGTTGCTTATCGGAGACCCGCCTGCAAGACGCGAGCTCTGTACTCACTCTGCGATCCCCTTCAGGTGACACTAACAGCAGTTTCTCATTGCGCCTATCCGGTGACGATGCAGCTTCGAGCCCCGGCCAAGCCGGTGTTGGCATTGCCCTGAGTCCCCGGGCTGAAACTGCTCTGGTTGATTGGATTCCAATCAGTAGCCGGATGTGTCCGGTTCGATTAGCTGGCTCGTTCAAAACTTCGAATTCGCGCGGGACTAACAGGTGGCTATTCGTTATCGCTGCCTGTGCACCGACAAACTGTAGCGATGACTCGGTAAAAGACGACTTCTATCGCCAACTGAACGAACTCCTTCGCCACTGAAGAAGCTCGGACACTGTAGTGCTGGCTGGGGATCTGAGCGCTCAAGTTGGAAAATTATCCGCAGATGAGCTGCATCTGGGCGGCCAACATGATATAGGCTCCCGGAATGATAACGGTGAGCGGTTACTTCATTTGTGTGAGGATGCTCGCTTATTTCTTGCAAGCACTAATTTCCGACACAGCACCCGCCGGAGGGTGACTTGGCGCCCACCAGCCTCGAACCAGCCTTTGACGCAGATCGATCACATTGCTATTAGTTACCACTGGAGAGGCTGCATCCAGAATTGTCGCTCGATTTGGAGCACATGTGTTGACACCGATCATGCACTTGTATGTGCTTACCTGCGGATGCGCTTTGGCGGACGCCCGCGACGATGTTGTGAGCGCATTGACACCGGCAGACTGGTGAATCCAGCTGTTCTGAACGCCTATCAAATTACGCTGTCATCCGAGTTGGATTAACGCTCACTGGATGCAATTGAAGCTCACTGGTCTCATATGCAACAGGCCTTACTAGTAGCAGGCAAATCCTCATGTGGTATGTCTAATCGCCAACATGAACATTGG